CTACTAGCCTCGTCTTGTATCTCTGTTCATTTGCGTTAGAAGGGTGCTGTGCCATTGACTGGTAGGTTGGTGATCCATGGCTTTAAGTGGTCGTACACTGCCCTGGCCATGCGCTGTGTTCCCACAAGACATGGGTGTAGTCCATCTCCATGGTCTCCGTCTTCCTTCCCGTCAATATAGAAGCTGAGGTGAACACATAACACGAACAGTCAGGCATACGAGTATAGGACACCGAACAAAAGATCCGTCAGATCAACTCAACTCAGCTCGAGGATTCGATGGGAGAATATTAGGAATGCCAAATCTTATGAGAGTGTGGGTGAGAGAGAGCTTAGGCATACAGCCCAAGCAACAGCCTACAACGACGAATGCCGTGAATACGTTCACTGCCAAGAGCTTGTGAAGCGCAATGAGACGCCAGGGCAAGTAGTACGATCATGTGATCATATAATACACCGATTAAAACCTTAAACCCTAATAACCCTAAAACCCACTGTAATAGAATGTATCATTGAGCACTGTCAACTTGGTATACTCTAAAACCCTATTACCCTAAAACGCTTGTGCTGTTGTCTCCCTGTGGTCACAAACTTAGTAAACCACAACTACCACACCCAATGCACACACATCTACGCCAGAGGACTTCATATATCAATATATCACATACTTGCAACTCAAACTGCAACTACCACACCCAATGCACACACATCCACGCCAGAGGACATCATACATCAATATATCACATACTTGTTCGTCTTATCCTTCGCCAACAGCTCCTCCATGTCGATGAGAGGCATATTCTTGCGCCGCGGATGCGCAATCGTATTCCGTATAGTTGGATTCACATCTGCGGAAAATCACGCGCACTAAGCTTAGCAACGACCGATGAGCTCAAATGATGACTTGCCCTAGGCAAGTAACACAGTAGGCAACTAAGCTTAGTAACGACCTCTGGGCTCAAATGAGTACTTGCCCTGGGCAAGTAACACAGTAGGCAAGTAACACAGTAGGCAACTAGGCTTAGCAACGACCTCTGGGCTCAAATGAGGATTTGCCCTAGGCAAGTAACACAGTAGGCAAGTAGCCAATCCAACACATGTAGCACACTCAGACAGCCCCAGCATCAGATGTAATACATTTGAAACACACTCAGACAGCCCCAGCAGCATATGCAATACATTCATTGCTGTGGCCAATCCACAGCCCATGAAAAGCCCCAGCAGCATATGTAATACATTCACTTGATCTCTTGGTAATAACGCAGTGTGGTTGGTGTAGTATTCATTCGCCTCAACACAGCATACACAAACAGACAATGACAAGCGTCCACGCCCAAATAGCGTTCACGAGTGACATATTCCACCGAACACAATGTGCATCTCAAGTGTTTGTTGGACCAGTGGTAAGGTGGGGTGCCACACGCATAAATATGGGACTGTGTGTGTGCCTGGTACTCAACAGTTACTGTTGCTTTTAAATGCTGTCGAGTGACCGTTCAAGTGTAATGCGTGCGAGTGTAACGAATCGCATCACCAACGACTGGAGACGTACATTCACTCATTCACTCGCAACTGCCACTCTCGTACAGTGTCTCTCCGTGACTCACGGGACGTTTCAGTCAAAGGCTACGCATAGCAAAGTAGTACCTTGGTGCAGTGCTTTGCCACTGACTCCAAAGATGTCCTTAATGACCGGAGGTGCCGCCATAAGCCACGTCTGTGGTCTGCAACCTGTACAGTGTACAGTGTACGTCATTAGAAGAGAATCAGCCACAGTACAATTAGCCATTTGTATGCGGAAACAGACGTGTGTGCGCAAACCAAACGCACACAGCTGTTCTAAGAGTGGATGGGTAGGCCCATTGATTGAGAGCAGCGAAGGCGTCGTCTGCAGCGCCCAGGCACGTGCACACATGTAAGTGTCGACATCACACACACTCGCACTTTCCTTTTATGCACTTGTATGTCGATTTCACGCTTACTCTAGCTAAAACCCTAAGACCCTAAAACATAGAAATAATAAGAAAGTTATTTATAACACAGCGATCAATAAAGCACATGAAGTGGTGAAGTGTCTTTTCTCACTTGGTCACTTACCATATCTGTATGAAAATGACATGAGTAGTCGCAGGTACTCTCGCTTAAACTGGTCACGCGTCGCATCATTCCTGTGAACAGAGCAAAGGAGAGACTAAGAGGTCAGCGACTCAATCTAACGCACACACAGACACACACACACACTCATACACACACACACGCATATACACCCACACACACACACACACACACACATACACACACACGCACACACACACACACACACATCAAAACGCAGAGCGCACACACACCACGTGACTAACGCACCACAACTCAGTCCATCAGCCCACCCACGCAGTCTAAACCCAAAAGCCCTAAAACATACACACCACATGAGTAACGCACCACAACTCAGTCTATCAGCCCACCCACGCAGTCTAAACCCAAAAACTCTAAAACATACACACCACGCGACTAACGCACCACAACTCAGTCCATCAGCCCACCCACGCCGTGTAGTCATGTTACCAATCACTCGAAGACTATGTTGCAATGGTTTAGTAAAGCTACTAATCACTCCAAGACTACGTTACAATGGTTTAGTAAAACCATAAAAGCCCCTTTGCAATTCTTTGGAACAGTACTTCGACAGCAATCGAGACATTCTCGCAATATGAAACAAGGCATGTAGATACAGCCAATGGATACACATACACTATCATGCACTGTGACATTCAGCACATACCACGTGGTTACTGACACTGAAACTGCCGCAGACCACCAACACATACCTTGTAGTTACAGCCAATGGACACACATACACTATCATGCACTGTGAAATTCAACACATACCACGTGGTCACTGACATTGAAACTACCGCAGACCACCAACACATACCATGTAGTTACAGCCAATGAACACCAATACACTATCATGCACTGTGACATTCAACACATACCACATGGTCACTGACATTGGAACTACCCCAGACCACCATCACATACCATGTGGTGACAGCCAATGGACACACATACACTATTATGCACTGTGACATTCAACACATACCACGTGGTCA